TACATGTTCTTTTAATTGTGTCTACAAGGGAACAGACTCCTACTCGTCTTGTGTGTGTGTGCATACGCAACTCTCAAATATTCAACACCAGCGAGACAGGCGGGTGGGGGGGAAGGAGGGAAGATCCTGTGGAGGAAACACACACACACACACACACACGAACACACACGCACACAAACAAAAGGATCCCCCCCAACATCCATCCATTTATTCATCTGACCACCAATCCACCCATCTAGCAGTGTTTAAATATTTACTAGAGCTAAAGGAAATGGTGTAGCACAACAGACGCAGAGGCACAAAAAAGGAGTTGATTGGGGAGGAGTGCGAGAGTGATGGATGAAGCGAAAGCGATGGAAGGAAGCATCGAGGGCAGAAGCTGCAGTATAGCACCCCCTGGAGGCTTAAGAGGAATGTGGAGATCAGGAATGGGAGACAAGTCGGGACGGATGTAGAGCTGGATTACTATTTCGAACTAGAGATACCTCCACAAGAGGGAAACCCAGCCTTCGAAAAACACAAAACTACTGTACATACTTTACATATTTAGATAGCGATCAAATCCTGGGAATTATGCAGTCTAGTAACTACACTAAAACACTGAGAAAAGTGTGTTTGAAAGTGGTTTGTGAATGCAAAAAGGATGTTTGTTGGTGGTGGGGAAACATTATTTACACTACAGAAACAGTTTCTGCCGCCGTGCTAATTGCTAATGAAAAAAAGAGCAAAGGAAGAATGAAAGAAAAAGAGGGAAAGACAGAACAAAACTAAAACTGAGAGAATGAGAAAGTCGTCTGTGAAGTCTGGGAGTAAAGGCAGAGAGAGATCCAGAAGGACCTCACTGATCAGGGCCACAGCATTTTTTATTTACACACTCGCACACACACATGCAGACACACACCAAAACATCTCTTATTTACCAGCTTACGTCTGCACTATTTATGGGGCACTGGGGAGAGGCACAGAAGAGAGGAAGAGAGGAGAGGGGCTAAAATATGCATAGGGGCTGGTTCTTCTGGGACGGACCGGTGGGGGGGGGGGGGGTCAGGGAGGGAGGGAGGGGAGGCAAGGAAGAGAGAAAGTGAAAACTGAGATAGAACGACGTGAAGGCAGAGTGATTGAGAGGGTGCTGGAGAGAAAGTGAGAACTTTGTATGCAACGGGAGGGACGGAGATGGAAAGAGGAGCTGAAGGAGTGCAGTCAGAAGGGAAAGAGGATGATGCAGCGGCGTGTCCATGCTGCAATTACCCTTGGGTGGATGGGTGGGTGAGAGAGAGGGAAACAGAGAGTGAGCTGGACATCATATGGCCCCTCTGAGGGGTTGAAAGAGGCCAAAGCCTTTTCTAGCTGGCCAACCAGCCTTCTTCATCCATCCGCACCTCATTAAAACACGCACACACTCACACAAATTACCCTATTCCACTTTCCTCTGGCAGATGCATGCACACACACACACGCAAGGACTCGCACACATGCGATAACAGCTAGCAGTGGCATTAACCTCCATGGTTGTAGCTCTCCATCTCCCCCAGTCAGCCTTTCTGTCTAGCCCACTTAGAGAGCCCTCCCATGGGGCGATGGAGCTGTGGCAGGTCAGCCTCGGCCTGCAAGTTTTCACACACACACGCACAACATGCACACACTTGGGCCGGGACCAAAGAGTAACAAGATGGATATAGCCACGGTGCAGCAGCCAAAGAGGAAGAAGTACAAGGAGCTGAGGGAGGGAAGAAGTTGAACTGAGCTCAACTTAGCTGGAATGAAAACAACAGAATAAAACTCAACTGAAATGACCAAATTTAGCCGAGGTGATGAGAGCAGTCTGTTGTTGAGTCAAGGCTAACTACATATAAACAGTAACATAGCAATAAAAAAAATTCTATCTCACTTCAAGTTGACTAATATTGGCTATAAATGAGAAAAAACGTCATTTCAATCACTTTTTTGTCATGAAGTATGCCTCTGACTTCTGTTTTATGGTTGGTGGAATATCGGAATAGTAAAAAACATGAACATTTTTTAACCAAATTTGCAGAGTTGTACCATTGAAGACCATCTGCACATATCAATGAACCTACAAAATCTCAGCACTCTAGCTACATTATTTCTCAAGTTATAGCACTTCAAACATTGCTCCACAGATTGGCGTGAAGAAAACATGACATGAAAACATGAAACATGAAAAATCAACATGACTTCAATTTGTTTAAGAATTTTTAACTATAAAACTAACTTAGCTGTGAACACCTACACAACTGAATCAATTTTCACCACTTCAAGTCATTCAGTGAACTGATGTGTAATGACCCTCATATTGACAGCAGGTGATTTATTTTTTCATGTGCCGAGAAATAAAAGAAATAAAAAATAACATGGCTTTTACAAAGCTGATTACAGCATATACTTTTAGTCGTCCTTCGCCTCCGCTCAACGCTTATAGCTGAGACTGTACTTCACGCTGTGTTAATGTTAAGAAATGCAAAGGCAGGCCACTCATTTAAGCACACACTGTGAGCCTACTTCCTCTGAATCCGAACCTAACAGCTGATTAATTCAATTCCTTATTCTATGAAGATGTTGTGACCCGGTCAGATGGCAGGAGAGAAGTCATCGGGGATGGAGTGTGTGTGTGGCGGACTGGTGAATGAGATGAGGGTGTGTGTGTGTGTGTGTGTGTGTGTGTGTGTGCGCAGAGGACTGTGGAGGTTAGCAGGAGTGTGTGAGGTGTGAGTGCTGCCTGTGTGTGGACATTAACCGACAGGGTCCAGCAGTCACCCTGCTGTTAAATGGACTGGCCAGCCATATGCCCACCACCTCTGGCCCTATATCATTGCCACTTTATGTGAGTGTGTTTGTGTGTGTTGGCTTTGCTCTGGCCTTCTTTGATTCTACTATTTTTTATTTTTTATATACAGTATTTCTCCTTTTTGTTTTTTCACTTTGACTACATCTCCACCTGCGCACCAGCTGCTTTTATGCAGGGGAACATGTTAAGTTTTACACTGTAGTTGACAAAATTGAGACAAAGGAGGGGAAAAAAAAGAGTAAAAGGAGAGATTGTGTTACTACGATTATCTTTCCATTCATTACTTATCTGAATAAGTGAGCTTGTTGTCAGTGCTCAGACAAAAAGACCGCTCCCATTAAATCCTTCCAGGGATTTTTTTTTTTTTTAAAAGCTACCTCATCATGTGCTTTTCACCTCTAAAAAAACAGCACCAGTAATATTCCAGCACGCTAACCTGAATTTCTGGAAAATCTTATGAGCTACTCCACAAAAATGGACACAATGTATTTATAGATTGTGTTCAACCTGGTGTGTGCAGGTTCAACACAAACAACATCGCACACACCATAGTGATGCTTCTGTAGACTAAAAAAAGATAACAATACATGTTTATCTATTTTCTATTTGTGTCTTTAAAAAAAAACACGCACATCCCCCCCAGATCATTTTTTAGATCATAGTTGGAGACGCTGTGCTAATGAGACATCACTTTGTCATGGCTTGTGGGGTTGCATCTGTCCTGTTTGACAGCGTCAATAAGTTATCATTCAGACAGAGCTATAGACTAGAAGCATTAAACACCATTTTCACCCATGAAAACTGATCAGAAGCAGAGACGTATCATTTTTAACAGCTTGTGCATTTTACATTTGTTATGTTCGATAAAAATAATCTGCAAGCTTTCATGCTAAGTTTCACAACAGCTTTCACAGTCTTTAAACCTATGAGGCCAGGCCTATTTTCACTACCATTACTTTTAAACTCTTACCTTAGTCATTACAATACACTTATTTTATTAGCCTTGATATTAAAGGGAAAACAATCATATTAAATTGTTTTTGCATGTACCACAAAATTAAATGCTTGCAGTAGAGATATCGTTTCAGGATTTGGTTGGGGAGATCGGAAGCCAAGGACACGGACTCAAAAGTTAGAAAAAAGATGCCATTATTTTTTTTTTATGTAAGTGTTCACATAAATCAGGCAAATACTAAATATAATCACAGAGATCCATTATTATCTATGCAACGATTGCATTGCAACAATCTTAAACATGCATTTCATTATAGTTCATGACATTTTTATTGTTTATGAGTCGCTCAGATGAGAGCAGGGAGTGCGAGGATGGATACAGAGCTGGATGCAGACTCTAACTATGATTAAAATTAATGTAATTTCAAAATATTTATTTGTCACTGACACTTTGTTACACAGATAAGCAGCTGGAATTGTTGGAAAGGTCAAATCTTGCAGTTTCACTAGACATGTGCGACACCTTGCTGCAATAAATACTTCACGCACAATATAACCAAGAAGTGGAGAATGTAAATACAAAGGGCATCTGTTGGGCTCTAAGGGTTAACGTACCTCTACGGTCAACACAGTAAGTGACATAAATCACAGATTTCACCTTTAACAGGACTGATGCTTGACCTGAAGATTGTGCAGATCACTGGTCTGCTGCCAAAGGGTTACAAGAGATGGAAGACAACAGGAAGGTTTACATCACACAGGCCCGGCCACAGCTGGCCCAGGACCTACTCTTGGGTGACTTATATGCACTCATGTCTTTCGTACGCTCGCACATGCACACACGCACACACCTCATGTGTCTGGACCCTAATGACATGAAGCGTGCCAGAACCCTGCCCAGACCTCATGAGGAGAGGCGGGAAGACAGGGACAGATAAATGGCAAGAGGGCGAAGGGAGAAAAACAATAAATATAGGGATTCTATGGAGGAGGCGTAGCTGGGAGAGTCGAGAGGAGTTACTGATTAAAGTTACTGTATGTTGAGGGATGAATGTAAGCATTAATTATTACAAGATATGTAATAATTAAAAGACGAACGGGGGAGTGTTTATCCTTGTTCATCTTGTTTAGTAGATCTAGGTAGCATGTAAGTACCCGCGCACACTGTTTCCCTAATTTACCTGTAAAAGCACACAGACAGAAATGACGACAACACAGATATAGAATCAAGGCGTCCTACCTGTAGTTCTGTCTGAAAAAAGAACTTCTGCGGACACTGGGAACAGTCGTAGATCTTGTCTTCCTGACCATGCACGGCAAAAATGTGCTGCTGGAGCTTGTTGGCTTGCACAAACACTGGGAGAAGGACAAACACAGAACACAGTGTTTATTTGATGAAGTCAGCCACCCAATGCCTGCTGCAGCTGAAGGCCAGCTGAACTGTGCAGACCAAAAAACTGTGTCCGTAAGGGGAACGAGACGAACCTGCATTGCTGTAGATGGGTCTGTAGCAGGTTCCAAAATCGTGGTAATATAATTTTCAGCTTCAGTTTTAAACTGAGCTGCCTGTCAATGTATTTGCCAGATGGCCTACAATGTCAGTGCACATTTTGAGTGGTTAAATCCAAGCTTTGCAGAAAACTCATTCCATATCTTGTCAGTGGAAAATAACTGACAGTTCAGGGAAAGGTTTGACACTGAGGCGCATGCAGATTTGTATTGCCAAACCTCTTTACAAGCAGAAAATTCCAATAAACACAGCAGGATTAGAACTCTACTATTATACACTGTATTTGCAGAAAATGAACCAAATTGCAACCGAGTGTTCGGCACAAACACACACAAAGCAAATGAGGGCTGACTGGAAAAGGAGGGAGTATATACGGGATGAAATAAAGCGACAGAAGGGAGCAGGAGAAAGAAAGAGAGAAAACAGGAAGAGCTATCCTCAGCAGACCATGTGATATTTATCAATAAATTATCTCTTCTTTTTTTAACTTCCGCTCCAGTGTTGTCTCACACTTTTTTTTTTTCTTTCTTTCTCTCCCCTTTGTTTCAGTAAACTTTTGGTTTTCACTGTGAGTGTGTATGTGTTGAATTATTAAGCCTCCCCATAGGAGTGGTGCCCATCTTACTAATTCATAAGCCACCAAGGAATAGAGTTAAAGTTTAAAGCGTTGCTGTGTACCTGGGGGGTAGGCACACAACACAAGACAAACTCAACAACTGAAAGGGGGGAAAAGAGAGTGATGGAGTGACACAGAGAGAGAGAGAGAGAGAGAGAGAGAGAGAGAGAGAGAGAGAGAGAGAGCACATACGTATGGGAATAGAGAGTCAGAGATGGAATGGGAAAAGGAGAAAGCGAAGGTGCTGACTTAGTTTCTGCTAAAATAGGTGCTGAATGCAACTCTGAACACTACAGACCTAATTTGGTCATCCAGCATTTTGCTTCTGCCCTCCAGTGGATTGCATAGGTTTAAGGTACTTCATATTTGACCAGTGCGGAGGTATTATTGTGTTTACTTTTGCACACACAGAGTTTTGGCAATACTTCTTTAGCACTGGCACCATGCTGCACTATTGCTCCCACAGTTAGAAATGTTAAAACAATGAATATTCCTGATGCGATTTTACTGCCTACCCAAAACCTGAAACCCCCACAGCTATTACCAATTCAATTCTGAACACTCTATTTGTCCCCAAGGGGCAATATGCAGGGTCATGTACAGTAGTACAATTACGTAGTATAAGAAATTTAAAATATACTGAATATATCAAGATGTTGGTAATCCGGAGAGAGCCATTTCTGGGCCACAACAGGTACAGGGGATGATATGGAGGATTTAAGGGGCAGATCTTGCTTCAAGCAGCAATACTAACCTCACTTTGCATTTTTACAATGATAAGCTGTGACCACATTGGTGCCTACTGTGTAGAGAACATGTTACATTTTTATCAGACTGTGGTTTTAATTGAGAAAGTTTAAACCTGGTTGCCATGGAAAACACTTTCATCTTCATATTTAATATACCAGGTGAAAGATTAGAAAATATATTTAAAACAAAGCAAATTAAATCAATAAATTCTTTTAATTTTGCCATATTATATAATATATACAGCACTACAGTTCCTGAGAATTGGTCCCGAATCCATTTTGAGGCATAACAACAGCCCAAACATATAGCCAGTCATAAAGAACTATTTTTAGTGACCAGAAAACATAATCAATTAATCTGGGATTACATGAAGATGTTTCCACCAAGGGGATCAATAAAGTTCTATTCTATTCTATTCTTCTAGAATTAACTGAGACAACCTAATACCATAGATGAACTGCGACAAGTTCACCAAGACAGATAGAAAAGTTGCACAAGTATACCTGGGAGAACTAGTGGCCACACCATAAATACAGTTGTGTTCAAATAATAGCAGTCCAACATGAGTAACCAGATCAGCCACTGTTTTTGGTAGAAATTATATTATCACATGGCAAATAATTTACCAGGAGGTGAAGAGAAACCAACAGACCCAACATTGATGATATGCATGCTCCTGAGTCTGTGTAATTGAAAAATTAATTGAAAGGGGTGTGTTCAAAATAATAGCAGTGTGGAGTTCAATCAGTGAGGTCATTCATTATGTGGAGAAACAGGTGTCATTCAGGTGGTCCTGGTTTAAGGATGAATCCAGCACATGTTGTTCATGCAATTCTCTCTGAAAACCTGAGGAAGATGGGTCGTTCCAGACACTGTTCAGAAGAACAGTGTGTTTTAATTAAAATGTTGATTGGAGAGGGGAAAACGTATAAAGACGTGCAGAAAAAGATAGGCTGCTCAGCTAAAATGATCTCCAGTGTTTCGAAATGGAAAGCAAAACCAGAGAGACGTGGAAGAAAATAGAAGACTACTATTCGAATGGATCAAACAATAGCCAGAACGGCAACGACTCAGCCAATGATCAGCTCCAGGGAGATCGAAGATGGTCTGAAGTTACCTGTGAGTACTGTGACAATTAGAAGACACTCATGTGAGGCTAATCTATCGGCAAGAAGCCCCCGCAAAGTCCCACTGTTAAAAAAAAGACGTGCTGAAGAGGATACAATTTGCCAAAGATATGTATCGACTGGCCTAAAGAGAAATGGAGAAACATTTTGTGGACTGATGACAGTAAGATCTTTAAGTTCTTTTTGGGTCCAAGTGCCGCAGACAGTTTGTCAGACGATCCCCAAACACTGAATTCAAACCACAGTACACTGTGAAGACAGTGAAGCATGGTAGTGCATCATGATATGGGGCTGTTTCTCTTTCTGTGGTGTCGGGCCTATTTATCACATACCAGGGATCATGGATCAATTTGCTTATATCAAAATACTTAAAGAGGTCATGCTGCCTTATGCTGAGGAGGAAATGCCTTTGAAATGGGTGTTTCAACAAGACAACGACCCCAAACACACCAGTCAGCGAGCAGCATCTTGGTTCCAGACCAACAAAATTAAGGTTATGGAGTGGCCAGTCCAATCCCCGGACCTTAATCCAATTGAAAACTTGTGGGGTGATGCTGTGTCTGAGGCAAAACCAAGAAATGCAGAGAAACTGTGGAAGGCTGTCAAATCATCCTGGGCTGGAATACCTGTTTACAGGTGCCAGAAGTTGGTCTCAGCAGTTCTCAAAAAAAGTGGTTATACAACTAAATATTAGTTTAGTGATTCACAGGAATGCTAAATCTTAACATTTTTTTTCAGTTTATTGAGTAAATATTTGTGTTTGTAATGAAAAATGCAGACACTGCTATTTTTTTGAACAGCCTAATATTATTTTTTCCTTAATTTTCTATAAATTAGTTAAAATATTGATAAATGTTTCTTCATGTTTTGATGTTAAATATAATGTGCAGTGTTCCAAATAAATGGAAATAAAAATATTATAAAGATTTTGAGCTTCACTCACGTTTCAAAAAACACTGCTGTTATTTTGAACACAACTGTAGATTCGATTTAGTTTTTTTCTGCATTTTGGCATGAAGTTACTCAATAAATAAGAGTTATTTATGCATATACACCAATCAGCCGCAACATTAAAACATCCTGCTTATTATTTTGTAAGGTTTCTTGTGCCAACAAAGCAGCACACTCATCGAGACATGGATAAGATCTCTGAAGGTGTCGTGTGGTATCAGGCACCAATCACGTTAAGTCCTGCAAGTTACGAGCTGAAGCCTC